CGATATGAAACTGAATCACAGTGTTGTTGAGAAACACAAACGTCCTCTGGATAAATAACAGAAACCTCATCCCGACCTGGAAGCACAGATTTGTTTTAACATATTTGTTTGGACGAGCGTTTAATCCATCATCCCGCCGTGTGACTAACCGAGCATGCTGGGAAATGTTTTCGTCAGCCGTGATACTTTCCCAAAGTTTTTGTTGATGAATCACTTCAGAGGAAAAAAACAAGTCCTGGAAAAAGAAACAGTTTTTGAGCAGGAGATGAAATGAAAGAGAGCGTTGGAGGTGCTGAGCCGTTCGCTAACTAATTAACTGAAAAGTAAATGGGAAGACAATAAAAACGTCAACAATATTAAAGTTGTATTGTTTGTACTGATTTACTAGTGTGTGGTGGTCGACCTCCTGCCATTTTAATAACTGAGATTTGTTTTAAATAAACAAGTTTTATCTTATCCTGTTCTGTAGGTCAAAAAGCACTTTTATTGACATCGTAAACATTGAATTAATTAACTTGATGGCTTTCTTTTTTGTCTTCTATATCGATGTGTAATGTTAATTCAACTGCATTTACAATGTAATGTTAAGTGTTAGTGGTCCTAACTACACGTTACACTGAGAAAAATAACATATGATTAAATATTAATATAAAATATAATGAAGTAAAACAAACATGAACTATATGATAGAATAAAATAATTGATCCGTAGAGTTGAAATTCAGTTTTTTCCTCAATGTACAGATATGGGTACATGTAAAAAGAGAATATGTACAAATAATAATTTGAAGTTAATAATATAGAAGTAATAATAATAAAAAAAGACTTCACATACAAACACTCACACTGGGAGAGCTCCATTCGCACGCAAAGGTGCCGCTCTCTCCCTCTTTGTTCCCACATTCTCTTGTGGTGACCTCACAGTGTGTGTGTGTGTGTGTGTGTGTGTGTGTGTGTGTGTGGTTTCTTTGGAAGACCGGCCCTTGGATCGAACTCCGCCAGCCCCAGACTTTTATTATTGCTGCAACACACACACACACACACACACACACAC